GTTTAGTAGCTGAAGTAGCTTTGTACAAGAACTGATGTGCGTAATAAGAGTGTCGGTAAAAGTAAATATCGAAACACCGCTACATCGGGCTAAGTGCTTTAATGATCTGACATTTAACTTAAAATGCTTACCCAAAAGACCGGGAAAGATCACAGGGGAACAGTACGTCCAATGGGGATAAACACAAGCATTGACAAAAGGGAGCATCAACTCACGAGGAACACAGGAGTCTCTGACCTGAGAGGCATAGAATGACAGCCTTCTGACTTATGTGAAAGTTTTATTTACTTGAAGCGTCCAAGTTACATCGTAGCTCATCGTCACACCCAGATATGTTAATGATGTGAAAGACTAATCCGTCGCCATCAAGATGTAACTTGTTGTATAGTGTAAGGAGCTCCTCACACCTAGCTCCTTTGTGTAAGGAAAAAAGAATCTCATGGCACTTTGAAGCATTACGAGACAGATCACGGGATTTGGACCAGCCATTAAGATCGTTTAAAAGTTTGTAGTCTGAATGAACAGTCGGCGCTTTGGTGGTTGATGCCCAGGGCGATATCGTCCGCATACTTTACCAGTCGCTTCAGTTGGAGCTGGCATAGAGCCGAGTTCCTAATGAAACTGTGGGAGCAGGAAACTGTCCCAACCGACTGGATCCACTCCGTCATAGTCCAAATTTTCAAGGGAGGCTGAATATCGGAATGCGGGAACGATAGAGGAATCAGTCTGATCTCCATCGCCTCCAAATTGCCTGCCGCTGTTCTGCTTCACAGACTGACTGGCACTCGTGAAAGCCATATTTGTGAAGAGCAAGCCGGGTTTCGTCGAGGCCGTGGCTGCATTGACCACATCTTCACTTTGCGTCAGTTGTTGGAGCACCGTCACATATTTTGGCGGCCCACCGTTGTTGTGTTCCTCGATATCAAAGGTGCATTCGATTTGGTGGATAGACGTGCACTTTGGGACTGTCTATTCAGGGAAGGTGTACCTGAGAAATATGTAAATATTATCCGATCATTATACGCGCGTAGCTCAGGCAGAGTGAGGGCTTACGGCAAGCCGTCGTCGCTCTTTAATATCTCCAGCGGTATGAGAGAAGGATGCCCGCTGTCACCTTTCCTCTTTAACTTCGCTGTTGACGAAGTCATGGAAATCGCGTTTACAGGACACGACTTAGATGGTGTGGATCTGCTCCCAGGAGAACGACTTATTGACTTAGAGTATGCTGATGATATTGCCTTAATCTGTGACAGCTCACAAACGTGCCAAGCGGCACTGGACAGATTAGCACTAGCTGTCCGTCACTTCGGGCTTTGCTTCGCGCTCTCGAAATGCAAAGCCTTAAGATTGGGCTGGACCGGCTCCTGCGCTGACCGTTGGTGGGGATCAGCTAGAAGTCGTTCAGAAATTCCACTACCTGGGAAGTTGTATCAGCGCCTGTGGGCTTGAAGATGATCTCACGAACCGTACAGGAAAAGCTCGAAGCGCTTTTGCTAACATTCTTCGCCGGGGCGCATCACTCTCGCCCTGAAGGGTAGAGTGTACGTTCGACCCTACTGTACGGTTGTGAAACGTGGCCCTTTAGATCTGCGAACATAAAGAGGTTAGTTACGTTCGACCACCCGTGCCTTCGCAGTTTTCTCACATGTGGTGGGAACACTGTGAGAAATGAGCGTGTTCTACGCCTTATTTACGGCACAGGAAAAGGTAATGAACCATACAGCATGGGTATTTCACTCACCAGGCTCCGATGGCTCGGCCACGTGTTACGCATGCCAGCCCACCGACTCCCGCGACGTGCGCTCTTTTCTCGCTGGGGATGTGAATGGAAGAAGAGAGGTGGCCAAGCGATGACTTTGTCGAGAGGAATGAAGGCCCTCACTTCGAAGCTTGCCTCCGTTGGAGCGTCTCGGCTCCCTGTTTGGGGTCCGAAAGACGATGAAGACGTTCGACTAAATACACCTGTTGACATGTCTAGGAGCCGAACTCAGTCGCATTCCTGCTGTGAGTTTCCTTGTACCACCCCAGCCCACAGCCTCCCTCTCCAACCACGAGCTCACTTCTTTTGGCCTGGAACAATTCTGTTTGAAGATTTTTCGCTGCATATTAGCCGGCTGGTAGCTTTCTGGAACGATGCCCATCCGTTCCTGGTAGCTCAGCTAGTATGCACCTGTTGCATATTTTCCTTTCCTCCTTTTATGTGTTGTGGCACAGTAGTTGAGGTGTTTCGCACTTCTAGCTAACATGTATGATGAGGATGATGAATAACTCCTTGCCATCACCGAACGAATCCACCGCCACTTACCATGTTTTTCTTGGAACATCCTTTAGAATCATCAGTTCATTTATCTGAAACAAGTCACGGGGTCTGACTGGTTTTCTCTGGTGAGTTCGGTTCCATATCCCTGGTACTGCTGCGATTAACACCTACATGGACTTTATAGGCATGCCATAACCGTTGGATGTCAGATTGCCACCGCACAGCTAGAGTTTAAACAATATGTCGGTCACCATGCATACTGTGTCTCGCGTTCCAATTCCGGATTCGGTTGCCTTTCCGCAGTTAGTCCTGACGAAAAAGACATCGGATGTGGAACGCAGTGTTAGAAGCGCGCAACGAAGAAATCATTCCACTTCTGATACGGTCCCAGCAATTTGAATGATCGGGATCTACTTGACGGCGAACTGAGATCCCAATGGAGATTGCTTCTTACAATCCAAACACACGACTGGTGCTCCAGAACTCCACATGACATTAACTTCGGGAGCTGTTTTTTTATCCATCGCTTGCCCTCACCAACTCAAGTTTCAGATGCCACGAGTGTTTTGTTTAAATCTGTGTGACTTTTTATTACGCTCAAGCCTTATTCCCTTACTGATCATCTTGAGTGGTTTTACCGGCAAATATTAGTTTAATACTTGCTCTTCACCGAGAATATCCTGGATTTTTACTCCTGTGGGGTGGCAACAGTTTCGAGGGTGACGGTATTTGATTTTTTGCGGAGAGTGAAGTCTATGACCAATAGATTGGTTATTGTTGGTCCGTCTGACTTTTCTTGTTGGGCTCGACGCGATTGGCTGGGTAAGTTTCTCCACCGGCACCAGTAGAATGCTATCGTCTTCTAGCTTATCTAATTGTGTCTGTTTTATGTTGCGCTGACTCCTCTGTAGGGTTTTTCTTTCTTTAGTAGGACCTATCTATGGCTTACGAAAGAGTATTGTCTTAACGATGCTGCCTCATCGTATCACCATAAGTTCGGGTTTATGAAGTACGGGGTTACCTAGATGTGGTCACATGGGTACCTAACCTTTCCTAATGTCGTTTAGGACTTTGTTTATAGGGATCGACGATTTATCGTCATATGACAATGAAATTTTAATGCTAAGTGTAGTTATGCCGTTGTTATTGTTAATCATAACGCAATCGGAAGGATTGCGTATTGCTTAATCATCATGGAGCAGGAAGCACGTCTTCTTATGTTAGTGTACTTCAACATTACTTGGCAGAAAGTGGAATGTGAGAAGCAGCAACTTACTTGCGAGAAATTGCTTGTGTAGAAGCATTCCCATCTTCACACATGACATTTTCCTGTCTGTTGAGACACCTGACTTCCCCTACTTCACATACACTTACTTTCTTGAGCTACGTCACTTTTGACTTCAACAAATCTATCGATTTATGTACAGTGGAGCCTTATTCTTCATTTACATGATGAACTCCCTCCTGTTATGGTCACACTAATGGCATTACCACAATTGATGCTCTTAATAGGTTAACAAAACTTATATTGCTTACTATGTTCCGTTTTCTACAAATGAAAATTGCCCTTCCTTGCCACTGGGAGCTGTCACACGAATCCCCATGCCGCAGTCATATTTTCACAGCGGGTCCACTGGTAAACTGAAAATAACACTGCAACAAAAAATTTATTTTCTCTAACAGGAATGCTCATGTCCCGACTTTATGGAATACACTCCACTGATCGTAGGAATGTTTTCCGATGTTACCTAACACGTCAGGTTACATTGTTATAAACAAATGATTATTTTCAGTAAGGTCAAGATTACGTCGCACGAACTATATGTAGATGTAATGAATCCCAACATTATACCGGATGCAGCTATGTGGCAAATACGTTCAAAACGTCACAGCAACATTCGCCACTAGCTACTGACTGCAACTTGACACTGAGAAATGATGATTTTACCGAGATCGCCGCTTGTATGATCCAGCGCCGTCACACTGCAAAAGCCAGCAAAAGTCACCCACCATAGAAGGCGTGTACTTGCCACTGTAGCACCGATTTTGGACATTGGGGTCGCTATTTCCACTAACTGCTCGGGTATAATTCTTGCCACCTCAGGCGCTAGCGCACATGTTTCGAAACTATGATTGGGTAAGCCTCGTAGATATCCAACTGCACACGTAGCACCTGATTTTCTCCCGACTTTTTCCAGCTCCTTTTTGTCGATCGAGTTGACTTTTATACGTCTATGTGAACTTTGCCTCTTATTTTCGATCCACAGCGGGTTACGTGTGCATATTATCACGGTAGCGCATACGACTGGCTCGCACACGCTTGATGTGCACGTCGCCGGCTCACGCAGTGATAAGCCAATGGATGCATGCACCGATCGACAGTTGATCTAATAGGCGTAGATTCAGCTGTGTCTATCCGAAGCGGATATTTTACAACTTTCTGGAAGAGCACTATCGAAGAGTGTTGGTTGTAGTACAGCCTTTCTTTGGCGTTCGACGATGCCCTGGAATTAGCTGAGGTTGTGATTCGTGTGCACACAGTGTCCCACTTTTTCAGCTAGTGCCCGAGCGGTGCTATATAGTCTATTTACAATCCCGTCCAATCCTTTGCTCACTCAACCTGGATATTTTCGCTTTCCTCTCACCCAACTTTCCTCATGCCTTAGTTGAATACCTTTCGGTGTACCAAATAAGTGGGTAAAAAATCGCATCTCTTTTATATACTCTTCATGTCCACTAGTATACGAAACCCATTGAGCCAAGTTTAAAGGAAACCACAATCCCAAATGGCAACCAAAGTGCTTCCAACCGATCCTCCCTTCAGCCTGTTGCACACCCCTTGGTTTCCGCGCTTTCCCCGGATATTCCAGCTACACCCAATCTCAGCCCGTCGGAAGATAGCAATCCAGCCGTTCAAGCATCAACGTGCAAGATGCCTTCAAAATCCACAACCTTGGAACGAGTTCAACATAAAAAAGCTCATCCGAAGATGTCGGATGAGGCGATACACGAGAAGCTGCGTATGATAGTCAGCCTCGGTGATCCAAACCGGAAGTATGAGCGGCAAGAGAAAATCGGTCAGGGGTGAGTACCTTTGCGATCACACATTTCGTAGCCACATTTATGTTTGGCCTGTGACCGAAAGGATCACACGGTTGCTTTGGAATCTGGGGGTCGCAGGTTCGAGCCTGCATGCTGGACCGGACGACCCTTGCAGCATCCTTGGTGCATGCGACTGTTGATGGTGGCGCAGCAGCGAAGCGTCAGTTCTGCTTACCGGCGTACTGCTGAAGCCTTTTTTCCTCCCATTTTTACCCTTGCTGTATTTCTGATTAGAATCTATCTCATAGCGGACACTGCCAAAAATGCCATTGTGCTACCCGTCCGATTTGTATAAGGCCTTGTAAACTGAATGTCACCGGTTCGAATATGTATAGGTTCGGGCGAGCTCGCCGTACCCCCCGTAGCCTGGTGGTAGTCGCGTGCAAGGGGAACGCAGGCACATCGTACCGGTGTACCGTTGGTGCCTTGTCTCATTACTGAGCTACTGCGCTGCCGCCACCTCGTGTTTCACTTTCCCGACTAAATGTCGCAGTATATTCCCAAAACGAGTACATCAAAATAACTTCCACTTAGTCGCTGTTTAGTTTAGCTATGATACGATAATGCTCCATTGGTGCCGGTGGCGAACCATGCCCTGTTGTTTACAGCCAGTCGTATCGACTTCGACCTGTAAGGCGAGACGGCTAACAACACCCAATCTATTGGCCATAGATTTCATTTCTCGTAAACGTATGAAAAATCGTTACCCATAAAAATGTTGTTACCCTACACTTGGCAAACGAAAGACTCTTTCCTTTTTGCAAACAGTACTTCATTTCACCTTATTCGACCATAAAGCCACTCGAGCTGATCAATATCCATTGGGCTCGCCTACCTACCTAATTCGTTGCGGAAGCAACGAACGATATGGACGATGCTCAGAATCCATTGGCGATTAAATATCTGAAGGTGCCTGGGACCCTCAGTCTGAGGGCCTCCAGTTTCGCTGTAATAAGCTGGAACGGTAATTGTTGTGGTCCACTATGTGCCGCCTCGTGATGTCAACGGTATTTCGGATCGATGAAGTCTGCTCGACCTTCAACATGAGGTAATTCCAGCAGGTACACATCCGTCAACCCCAGTGTTGCTGCCAGTATAGATGCATTGAGCGACTATGCTCACTTGCCTTGTAATAAATTGTTAATGAAGGATGTTTGTGAGTAACGTAAGTTTCGTAGAAGGCAGAAGTCACGATTAAACTCAAATTGTTAATGGGCTAGCAAGTGGTTGGTGGTCTAACCGTGACACTGCAATTCGGAGATGCAGTGCGCTTAGTAGGCGATGATACCACTCCACCTTACGAGGATTGAACAACCGGATGACATTGCTCGCATATGTCAGATCAACCTACTTTCTCAAAAGTAGCACTCCAATACCTGCATCGTGAGACCACATAGAAAACATTCTATGTCAAAAATCAGGTTGAGATAGGTTAGAAATGGGGGAACGGGACAACGCTGCTAGGTCCCACTTCGCGGTCCTTGACGCAACTCCAGGATAACCAGGTAAGTGGCACATAAAATGATCATATACTTCATTGAAACACCCTTCAGAGTAATTAATCGAACAGAAAGAAGTCACGGATCGAGTCGACGGCATTCTTGAAATTGACGAACGCACAGACGGCATGCTGTGATGCTTCCCGAGTATTTGGATTGATGAAGATAGGACCTGCACAGCCTCATCTGGTGCAGAGTGGTACCCACTCATCTCTCCTACGACGTTCCATTCTTTAAGGCAAGGTAACGTGTTGAAATTTGGACCTGTAGCTTTGCTACTTTCAGCGTCTCTTTCATAGCTGGCGCAAACTTTGCGGCCATAAGTCTTGAACGTTGGCAATCTCTCCTACGCGGGCTTTTTCCAACAAATAAACAGATTTCTTATTGAACGTCTGGGAAAACATTGAAGTTGTAAATGATTCACGACGTACGACAGCAAGGAAAAAAGACTTGAGCGTAATAAAGTCACACAGATTTAAACAAAACACTCGTGGCATCTGAAACTTGAGTTGGTGAGGGCAAGCGATGGATAAAAAACAGCTCCCGAAGTTAATGCCATGTGGAGTTCTGGAGCACCAGTCGTGTGTTTGGATTGTAAGAAGCAATCTCCATTGGGATCTCAGTTCGCCGTCAAGTAGATCCCGATCATTCAAATTGCTGGGACCGTATCAGAAGTGGAATGATTTCTTCGTTGCGCGCTTCTAACACTGCGTTCCACATCCGATGTCTTTTTCGTCAGGACTAACTGCGGAAAGGCAACCGAATCCGGAATTGGAACGCGAGACACAGTATGCATGGTGACCGACATATTGTTTAAACTCTAGCTGTGCGGTGGCAATCTGACATCCAACGGTTATGGCATGCCTATAAAGTCCATGTAGGTGTTAATCGCAGCAGTACCAGGGATATGGAACCGAACTCACCAGAGAAAACCAGTCAGACCCCGTGACTTGTTTCAGATAAATGAACTGATGATTCTAAAGGATGTTCCAAGATGAACATGGTAAGTGGCGGTGGATTCGTTCGGTGATGGCAACGAGTTATTCAATCACGTTAGTTTACAGGAGTGCTTAGTTTGAAACCGATCTACTCACCGCCAATACAGTGAGAGCGTGCATCAACACGTTCATCCGCTCGGCGAGAAATACCAGAAACATCTGTCCCTGCTTCCGACGATATCCTCCGATTTGCCGGTGTTAGTCGGGCGAAACCTAATGTGGTTCGAATACCACTGGAAAGAAAAGTGTGCGCCATAAAACAAGGGAGAGATGAAGCAGAGGGCGAAGATAACACGAGGCAATCGTTGATGTACAGTGACGTAGATACCACGTACTGTGATGCCAACATCGCAGACATTTAGTGTTTTCCCCCTCGTTCGGGCCTTTTCTGTTAAGTGTCTGGGCAAGAAACCTATTTGAAGTTCTACTTCAAGCACCTAAATTTATGTTCATCCCGCTAGTCGCGAACTCGGCCACACTGATAATGGCAAGTTCACAACCACAGCATGTTTTGCACACATCATGGCTAATTTGCACAAGCACAATTAATCTTGTCGCGACCAGTGCATTCTAGGGGTGAATGCATTCGAGATTGTGCACCACTGATACATAGACGCGAGTGGCACAGCCGCGAGATCAATGACAGTCTCCCATTTGTCCTGTTTCTCACACTCAGTAGTCGTTCCAGTGGCTTCCACATTCAAAATTTGGCATGATATCATGACATTAGATGATCACATGGCATTGCGCAGCGATGTGGACAGGGTTTAATAGTTCAGTAGTTTATGATGGGATAAAAAGCATAACTTTACAAGACCCACAGGATGGATATGCAAAAGAAACTTATAATCAAAGTGTTCCAACGTGGAACGTGAAGTATCAGTGGTTAAATCATTGCACTTTAGCAAACTGTTGTGTATCGTTTATCACTAAGATGAAAGTCTAAGAGTCTTTCGAATGTCGTCATGTCTGGTGCGTTCACCACATATTTTGGTAATGCATTCCAGTGAGAACAGATTCTAAGTGAGTAAAAATACTTTCTACAATTCAGACGGGAGTGTTGCGTCATTAGTTTCAGGTGGTTGCCTCGGTTTTGTTTGTAAGGGGCTAGAATCAACAGTGATGTACATGGATGCTCGCTTTCAGTTAGTATCCGGTATGTGAGAGTAAGATCTCCGCGAAGCCGTCGGTATTCTAATGAGAACACACCGAGTACAGAGAGCAGTTCGTAACTTATACCGGATAGTCCACGCGTTGCCTTTGTGGCTCTTCTTTGGGGCTGTTCCAATAGGCGGATGTCTCGTTTTAACCATGGACACCAGGCCTGAATTGCATATTCAACATGAGGACGAATGTAGGAGTTAATCAGCAATGGTACTAGCCGTCGCTCAAAAGTGCCGAGAGCTCGCCTCAAAAGTCTCAAGTTCAAGTTCGCCACACTTGCTGCTTTCGAACATTGGAGCGAATTTCCAAGACTCTCTTGCACGATTATACCTAAGTCGCGTTCACTAGTCACGTGTTGCATGACGTGTTGCCCCAAAAGGTATGTGTTGACGAAGCTGCTGCGCACCGTCAGCAGGTGGCACTTTGCAGGGTTCAGTGGGAGCTGGTTCCTTTCTGCCCATTCGTTAATCCGGGTCAGATCTTCCTGGAGGTAGACACGGTCGGATGCTGAGCGAATTGCTCTCCATATTTTAGCATCGTCTGCAAATATTTGCATCGGAGATAGAATGTCTGCTGGAAGGTCATTAATGTAGACTAAAAACAGTAGCGGGCCGAGGACGGATCCTTGTGGTACACCACTGGAGACGCAAAGGCTTTCAGAATAAGTGTCGGCTACTCTTACCTTGATTGCTCTGTCGTGTAAGTAGTCTTCTAACCAGGTGAGCAGGGAACCGTTGATACCGTAGGCAGCAAGCTTTTGGAGGAGAAAGAAGTGATTGACCCTGTCGAATGCTTTAGAAAAATCCAGGTATATCACATCTATGGGCACTCCTTCATCAGCCGCCCTGGTCCATAAGTCCCGAGTAATCAGCAAATTGGTGAGACAAGATCGTCTGCGTCTGAAACCATGTTGGGCATTAGAAATTATTTGTTGAGTTTCAAAGTATCGCGTCAGTCCATCTGCGATTACCGATTCCATCACTTTTGATAAAACAGGAAGGAGAGTAATAGGTCGGTAGTTAGCAGGATCCGATCGCTTACCTCCTTTGTATATTGGAGTGATAATTCCATTTTTCCACTCAGATGGGAGTGTATGGGAGTTAAGCAGACCCTGGAAAAAGGTTGCAAGTGGTGCTGCTATGGTGGGAGCAAGGGTTTTTAGTACTTTTGGGCAGATCATGTCGATTCCAGGGGCACTGTACTCTCGGAGAGACTGTAATTTGCTTGCAACAGCTGCTGGAGTAAAGGTGACGCTGGATAAGCCAACGACATTGGTTGGGAGTTGATAGGGCGAAGGTTCCATGATATTTGTAGCTACCGA